ATCAAATTTTAAATCAAATAAAATTTAAATTAAATTAACTTCATTGTTATTATTGTTGTTTTTGTTGTTGTCTGTGATGCTTTTTGTTGGGATATGTGAAAGCTGCTGTAAATAATAAAATAATTTATGTAAATAACAAAATATATTATTATTGTTAAACATATTTTCATTATTTACACCTTTTACAGAACAAAAAGATGTTTTAATAATACAATTCATGATCCATGAAACTAAACTAAACTAAACTAAACTAAACTAAACTAAACTAAACTAAACTAAAATAAAATAAATATTAAGATCTTCATTTTCAGATCTCTAACTTTTGAGACTTTGGTCTCTTTGCAAATCTGGCCACAGTTTGAAACATCTGACATGAGACACGTATGAAATTATCCATTCACTCATCAATCTCATTGCTTTCAAGGAGAAACACCTGAGCTATCCATGAGATTGTTTGATTTTTATTTCCTATCATAGCGCTCAAACACATTTCATCACAATATTCAGATTTTCTTTTCAGCAGTCGTTTGTACACATCACCCAATGGACTGGATTGGCTGAAGCTCGGTTTGAGTTTCACAGTCTGGTTCTTCTCAGCAAAGCTGTGAAATCTCTCTCTTTCTCTCTCTTATTCTTATTCTCTCTTAGTCATTCATCCCTTATATATGTCGTGTGGCGCATTAGTGGCAGAGACAGTGGACTCAATCAGTCTGAATTCCTGCTGTTTTCCAAAGGAAACAAATCTATCTGAACACAGGGCACATGTCAGATCAGAGCCGCTTCTCTCACAGGCCGCTCCACTCCGCATCTGCTGCCAGAGCCTTTCAGCACTCATTACGTGATGAAAACCATGAACCGCCAAGATATTCCTTCACTTCTCTATGCTTTTTCTCTCCAATAAAAATCCCTGTTTGTACTATTATGATACAAAACAGTTGCTTTATACTTTGAAGTCAACATGAAATCAAAACGGATCCCATTTACTTTTGTTTAATATACATTCCTGATCTTACTGCGAATGTACTTATGTATTGATTTATTTATTATTTTGGCAGATTTAGCAATCCATACTGTCCAGTTGAGTCAGTTTGTTCATTGATTGATTGATTGATTGATTGATTGATTGATTGATTGGATGAAAAAAGGCTAAAGGCTATTTATTATTATTATTATTATTATTATTATTATTATTATTATTATTTGTATAGTGCCTTTCACATAACTCAAAGATTATTTAATAATGCAATTCATAATCCAGGAAAATAACAAAACAACAACAGACCAGATATAACATATAACATAACATAACATAACATAACATAACATAACATAACATAACATATAACATAACATAACAAACATAACATAACATATAACAAAACATAACATAACATAACAATCATAACATAACATATAACATAAAACATAACATAACAAACATAACATATAACAAAACATAACATAAAAAATGTAAGTAAATTAAATTAAATTGTTGAAATATTGTTAAGGCCTGAATTCATAAACTGTCACTGTTACACAGTGTATTTTAGCATAATAGAGTAGTAATAATAATAATAATAATAATAATAATTAAATTATCATTGTTATTATTATTATCATATGTTTGTGTATATGTTATATCATATTTTATATTACATATGAAGTAAATACTTAATATACATTATACACATTATACAGTACACAATACACAAATAATTGTATTTTTAAATTATAATATTGATAAAAAATTATGTATTAATTTGTTGCATTTATTATATTTATATTCTATATAAATTCTATTTGCATATTTATTAATTACAGTAACAAATTATAACATAAATCAACCCCCCCCCCCAAAAAAAAAAATGTATAATTCATTAATATATACAAACACACACTACATATACTATATGATTAAATCATTTATGGTAATAAATATAACTCATAAATTAATTAACGTTACAGCAATAATAGCACATAAGGTTATATCTGTACATAAGGATAAAAGTAAGCGTATATTCAAAATAAGTCTCAACCTTTCCTACCAAAAAGAGCTTTACAATCTGAAGTCATAGAAAAATGCAACAAAAGAAAGAGAAGAGAGAATAAAAACGACTAAGGTGCTTTAAAGAACTCAGAATCCAAAAAAAAGATGTAAAGAAACTGGCAAAAAGCTCCTATAAGGCCAAAAGGCGTTCTTAAAAAAACCCTAGTACCCTAGCAACCACCTAGAACACCCTAGCAACTGCATAGATAGAAAACACTTTTGCATCATGACATTTCACTACATTATTAGAGTGTTACTGAAGATCCACCAGCAACCCAATAAACTATAAATAAACTAAATCTAGAATGGACGTCTATGATGATGATGATGCTGCTGCTGCTAATGCTGTCAGACTGAGGCCCGTCTCCTCAAACAATAACACGTTTGTACCATAAACCGCCTACCCGGCCTCACTTTTCCGTCTTACTCACTGAGCCTAAAACAAATCATGCTGCTGCTGCTAATGCTGTCAGACTGAGGGCCGTCTCCTCAAACAATAACACGTTTGTACCATAAACCGCCTACCCGGCCTCACTTTTCCGTCTTACTCACTGAGCCTAAAACAAATCGTGAAACCACATGTTCACATGTACAATACATACACGCTGACTAAATATTGCTGGATCCGTCTCTATCGCGCGAACACAACCAGTGAGTCAGTGGTTTCCCCCGATGCCGGCCGTCCCATCAGATGAGAAATGACCTTTCCCGCTTTGATTTATGCCCGTTCACTTTGACCTACAGATGGATGTCTTCGCATGTGAGTGATTGCGAGATCAAACCGGCCCAGTTGTTTTGTGTGAAAATGACATTGAAGAATACGCCGCAGTATTTTGTCGTCTTACGATTTTAATAAACGACCTCCGGGAGCCAAGAAAGCGGCAGGCTCCGCTAAGACTAATACTGGCGTGTAAATGACCCAGAGAAATAGCAGACGACCCCTGATGAAAAGACGGCAGAGATAATAGCAGCCGGTGTATGAGACGAGGAGCCGGGCTCACACTCCTAAAAATAATAATAATAATCGGCCCATTTCTCGCCTCTCAGGAGAATCAAGATAAATCTGCCTTTAGGAGGGCAGTTTCTGCAGTATTTGGCTGGATGGATTTGTGAGTTGAGGATCTGCTGAAGCCATGTGAAACAGTGATGGTTTAGGGTGTCATGAAGCTCGCAGTGTTACTTCATTCGCCTTACGATTTTAATAAATGACCTGCGGGAGCCAAGAAAGCGCCAGGCTCTGCTAAGACTAATATTGGTGTGTAAATGACCCAGAAAAATCGTAGACGACCCTTGTTGAAAAGACAGCAGAGATAATAGCAGCCGGTGTATAAGATGAGGAGCCGTGCTCACACTCCTAAAAATAATAATAATAATCGGCCCATTTCTCGCCTCTCAGGAGAATCAAGATAAATCTGCCTTGAGCAGGGCTCTTTCTGCAGAAAGACGGCTTTCCACTGCAAATATTTGT